ATACCCTAGCTAGATAAATAATAATAATAGTTCATATCATACTGTACTTTATTAGCTTTACTTGTCCACAACATGAATCAATAATTGTTTCATTTGGGGGAAAAAAGAAACATGAATCAATAATTGAATTGGTGAAAACCTGTACCATTCGATATGTAATCTATGAGGGGACAAAGAGAGTAGAGTGAAAAAAAAAAACCTTAATTATTAATCTCTCCAAAATATTGTATGACCTAACTTTTGTTTCTTCCTCCATGCCCTTTCCAATGTATAAAAATAAAGGGAAATTAATTAAAGCAAAAAATGGGATTTGGTTAGCTTTCATAATTTGAACCTAAATTGGTCTTGAATCATGGTTGCTTTAGTGGTGGGGTGCCAAAAGTTGTAACCAATGCAAATATTATCATTTAGTGATGGTGCTAAGAAGTATGAGTAGTATTGCGTAATTTAACACAGGATATATATACTCTTGTTGATTCTGATTTTCTTATTCCTTGTATTATAAGCTAGTTGTTTTTTCCCCATGTATCCGAAGCTAGTAAATTATCATATCGAGAATATACAACTTGCTAGAGGTACAATCTAGTTTTTTTTTTTAATGGCGAAATCAATTACAGTTAAAAAGAACGACAGAAACGACGACAGAAGGAAGGAAACAAAAGGAAAGGGAAAACAACAGAAACGACGACGGAAGGAAGGAAACAAAAGGAAAGGGAAGAAAGGAAACAAAAAAAAAAAAACAGAGGCAAAGGCGCCCTGCCGCAAACAGAGTCCAAGCAGAGGGCGAAACCACCCCTGCAAAAAACCTTCCCAACACAATCTAGTTGGATTGTATTTTATGAATCACTTACAAAAAAAAAAATTGAGTCGATTATCATAATCTTCGTCATACATAATTAATTTGGACATAACATGTAGGTCGATACCAAAAGAAAAATTGGAGATGATACATGTGGAGGTGGGAAACTTAAGGGCTTGAGAGAGACTGGCCAAGAATTGTCTGACAGGTCAATGGTATGTACTGTGGTGGAAATGTTGAAGTGGAATGAAGTTGGAAAACCATATGGTGGGGGATTATTAAAGGCAACATGAAGAATGTGTACAACATTAGGTTCATTTATGTGTGTAAAGGTCTCAATTATCTACTCTTTTGTCCTTGTGTTTGTCCCTGCGAGATGGATAGGAGAATGGCAGTGGATCCAATCAGTATCAAAATCTAACTCTTTCTATAAGATTTTTATCTGTGGGCAATCAGTTCATCATTTCAACAATAATTCCTGATATTGAAGTAGGTTATTGAAGTAGTATAACTGAAAAATATTGTGTTTGAATTTTGAAAGGATTCTATTAGCAATTAGATTTATAGATTTTGTACATGATAGTGCAAAAAGATTCATTTTAATTTTTGAAACTTCTATCCAGATAATGATTGTGACTAAGACTCACACCTCTTTAAACACTGTTCGAATGAGGGTAATTGGTATAAGGAGAACATACGTTACGTTACACTACTCATATGGAGACTCCTTCATGGCGGAGAGCTCCGCGAACTGCAATGAAACAAAGAAAAGGGGATAACTGAGATGAGTTGTTTTGTGTGTTGTAATTGTCTCTCCTCTCCTAGAAAACTACTTCAAGTTTTGTTGTAGAGAGTTTCCCAATTGTCCTATCTTTGCTCTTCTCGAAAAGTAGTTGTTACATAGCATCGCCAGAGTTAGTTGTCACCTAGGAAAGCCTCTGAACACGTCAGCATGTCGTAGCAATCATCTACTAATTAAGTCATCATGTCAAATTGGATGACAACTATGAGACTGGATGATATCATTCAATAAGACTCTGGATATCATCCATGTTATGGGATGTCATCTTTTACTTGGGAGTTGGATGATATTCATGATATGGGATGATACCATCCACTAAAGTATTGGATGATATTCATGATATGTGATTTTATCATCCATAAAAGGGTTAGATGGTATCCACATACGTAAAATGAGATTATACCAACTTAGGAGTTGGACGGTATGAGACTTGACAGATAGTGGTCAAATATCGAATGATCAGATATACAGTCCGATCAGACGATCCGCTATATATAAATCAGACTATTTAAAGCTATCCAACTGCCCAAAATAACTCCTCTTAAGTGATTTTTTTCAGGGGAAAAATATTTTGGTGTAAACAGGTGAATTGAAATTGGTGGTGTAGATGATATGAGAGGTGATGAAAGGAAGAACAATGGGTGAGAGGCTGGCCCTGGGGTTTGGTTTGGTTGGTTGGGACAGTAGTAGAAGTGTTCAATGGGCCAAGCAAGCAAGGTAGCCGACCAGATGGGCTCCCCCATCAACGCAACTGCTGGCTTTGGTTTCCAACTATTTGTTTCCCAATGAACAGTTTAGAAAATGGAGGTTAAAGAAGAGGAAAAGGGCAATGGGGCAGGCTATTGTTTCCTCTTACATTACCATTTTTCCTACATATATGTATAAACCTATGTTTTGTAATGTAAAAATCTGTGGTAGTATGTGTATTATAATAATAACACACACACTCTCTCTCTAGTTTCTCTCTCTGTGATATTGGCATTGGGATTCAAGAGAGACAAGCCTCCAACCCTAACTTCTGACTTTGTCTTTGTCCCATTGTACACACATGCGCACATATTATAGTATTGTTTTGCATACATACACAAGCTAAAGGAACTACTACTTCCTTCTCTCACACTTGACCATATATAGAATGACTTGCATTTTGCAGAGTATTATAATTCTGCTTTGATGTACTTTTTGAATTTTGTATTAAGGGTGGTTTTTTTTATCAGGGTGACATATGTTATTTTATTTTTGTTAGGTATTATTTAAGATTTTTCGAACTTGTGACCTGCATGTTCAAGTTTATAGGTATTACCACTAGATCACACCATTGTTCGAATTGAGTTATTAAGCAAATAGATTTTTTTTTTCAAATGATAAGATTTTGATGATTTCAGTTCTTGTGATTAATTTGTATGGTATTGTATTGATTAGTGATGTGAGGAGCACTTCTACTATGCTATATAGTATTGGTGCTTTAATGTACAACTTTAGCTTGTACCATAACAATAAATGTATAAGTTTAGGTTGTAACATAAAGGAATTTGTATCATTACGGTATGGTATAACTTTACAACTTGAAGTTGTACCATCACATAAAGGTATAAGTTCAAGTTGTACCATAAAAGAATTTGCATAAAAAGTATATGTACAGTTTGAAGTTGTACCATAACGTTAAATATACAATTTCAAGTTGTAGCACCAATGCTATATAGCATTGTAAAAATTCATCGTGACGTGAGAGGTGTTGTATTATTTGCACTATTATAGTTTATTTCAACATAAAGTATGTATGTCACTGTAAGCATTAAGCAAGTAATTGTATGAAATAGAGTGATTCCATTAATGTTTATCAGTGACTACTCATCAACATTATAGCTTATAAGAGTTATGTATGTCAAGATATAGCACGCAATTTAGGTTGTTCAAACTATGGACTCTCACCCAATCCAATCGATGAATTTCTTAATTTTTTGACGGATGAAGTTCTTAATTAGTTTAAACATAGTGACCTCTTATCGAAACTCACTTAGAGACATTCTTCTCCCTTTCCATTCAATGTGTCTAACATAACGTGAGTATGATAACATCAACCATACTCGAAGATTCAAAATTTTCAGCCTAGCAATCATTTCTCTCCACTTAAATTATAAAAAAAAAAGAGCTAACTAAAGCACATTTTCATTTATTCGTGTGATTAGTTGTCTAAAAAATGAAATCCACTTTACCCCACCTCATTCTCATTCAATGAAATCAAAAGCAGACATATATTTTATAAAGCTAATCTAATATACTATTATAAAAAAGAACACATTGATCGAGTAAGACACTAATTCTAGGTTTCCCTCTCTTTAGACCACACTAGTTCTTTGTTCTAATGCTGTGGATACTAAAAATCTAGGATATTAAATGTGGTAAAAAGCCGTATATTGTTGTTTCGGTAAGCTTCAAAAATAAGATAGTCAATCGATCAACATTAGTGGTTGTTGGTAGGGTGGTTTGTTATTTAAACATTATTTCATTTACACTTCTTTTACCTATATTCATATTAATAACAATAGTACATGTATGTTTGGATTTTAGTGTATATGCATGTTCTTTATTCTCATAATATCTCCCCATTCCCATACCCTTTCTACAATACACAGTATTCAATAAGGATGTAAAGGAAGGAGAGTCTTTGTTTGTGGGTTTCCCAAGTCCCAAGATAAACTAGTATTCATTCGTTTATCTACAACCACACACATACATATAGGAAAGAAAATTTAGATGGATATCTCGATAATTATATTCGTCTTGTGATAGATTGAATTCAGATTGTGTATTTTATTTTGGAATATCGGTTGAAGCAAATTGATTCACATGTCTTTTTAAGGAAAATACTTGAAATATTAATTTTTTTATAAAAAACTTGAGAAACAAACTCCACATGATAAATGAAATGTAATTATTCAACAAATGAAGGTCTTCACTTCAAATCTAAATGAACAGATCGAATAAAACGAGTCATATCCAAATTATCATTCCTACATAGGGCTGCAAATTAGCCGAGCTATTCGCGAGCAACTCGGGGCTCAAATCGGGAAAAACTCGTTCGAAACTCGACTCGTTTACTAACGAACCAAGCTTGAGCTTAGCTATGTTCAGCTCGCGAGCTAGCTTGACTCGGTGGCTTGTTGAGCTCAACTCGCGAGTTGGCTCATTCAGAGCTCATGATATGTCTCAACATTGTGGTTTGAGGGCCAACTTGATCACCGACTTATGGACGAATCGATCTAATTTGGACTTTCATAATTCATAGGGTTGTTAAATTATATATCTCACATCATGTGAAGTTTAACATGTTGAACATGTAAGAAAATATGTCTTATTTTTAATTCTATAAAGAAATTATCTACAAAATTGTTTCGATACTATGACATAACATGATTTAAACTAGTTAAAATTTATTAACTAAACAATATGACCCCTACAAATTATAATATAAGATTAGTTAATGTTGAGAATTTGATTATTTTTTTGTCGTTACATCAATCACATGTACCATACACGACATACAAAATGAATGTATCAAATACAATTTAAGAATTTAGTAAACAAGCCTAGCTCGAACTCGACTCGGCTCGTTAATAAATGGCTCGAGCTCGGCTCATTTTGTTAACGAGTCAAGCTCAAACTAGAGTAAAACTCATCTCAGCTCGGCTCATTTGCAGCCTCGTTCCTACATACAAATACGAAAAATTAAAATATCTAATTCAAGAAAATAGAAAAAAGGACCTTCTCTTCCTTTCCTTTCTCCTCAGTGCACTTTCTCAGCCCATTCCCTCTTGTTTCCTCCTTCTCTCTCTTTGCTTTAACCATATCATAATATATAAAAAAAACATTTCTTATTATCATTATTTTGTTCTCTAATGTTTAGTCACACCTCAACAAGTGACATCTTGTCTCCCCTTCTCTCTTCTCTCTCCATCATTTTTTTACTCAATTGGGTCACCTTTATCAACCCCTCACTTGATCCCTCTCCTTCATTCATCTGAATACCTTCTTCCTCACACTTCTCCTTCTCTAGCCATAAAAAAAACCCTTCCTTTTCTCTCTAGGCCCAATCCTCTTCTTCTTGTTCTTCTTCTTCCCTTTTGGGGTCCTTGAATTGATTCCTTCCCATCCATCATAACCCCCTTTTGGGTCTTCTTCTCCTTCAATGGCTGATCCCTTTTCCAATTACTTCAACAACAATGGCTCCTACAACAGTAACAACAGCAGCAATTGGCACTTCAATCTCCCCTACCACACCAATAATTACCTCAACCATCTCCACCACTTCTCCTCCTCCACCTCATCATCATCACCTTCATCCTTCACTAACTTCTTCTCCTCAACACCATCATCAAGAGAGCAGTTTCATCATCATGAATACTCACCACCTTCACCTCCAATTAGGGAAGCACTCCCACTGCTGAGCTGCCTCAGCCCAACAAGAAGGCCCATGGACCTGGACCATCACCAGCTCATGACTTCATCATCATGTGATGATGAAGAAGAAGATGGCACTGTCACTGTGGCTCTACATTTAGGGCTGCCCAGCCCAATATCTTCCTCCTCCACAGCAGCAACTACACTGGAGATTTCTGCTGCTACTAGAAAAGAAGCTGTGCTTAATATTAATGGGAGATCTGAGGTTGCTGTACTTCATAATGATAGCAATAATCATGGTGGTGATGTTGATGATGATGATGATCATTATAGTAATGGGAGTAGCAGTAACAATAATCAGGTGCAGCAGCTCCATGGTAGTGATCATGGTAGTAATTATAATAATGGAGGAGGAGGAGGTGGAGGGATGATGGTGATAAACAGGATAAACAGAGGACAGTACTGGATCCCAACACCAGCTCAGATTCTGATTGGCCCAACTCAGTTCTCTTGCCCTCTTTGCTTCAAGACCTTCAACCGCTACAACAACATGCAGGTACTGAAAGATCTTCCCTTTTTCCCTCTAAATCCCTCAAATTTCACATCTTTGCTTCAATAACATTTATGGTTGTTGTATGACATGAATGGGTGAGGGGAAATGAAAGCAAAAGGTATGATTTTGCAGACTGCAGTTTTGATAAAAAGCTTCTGCCTTTGGCCTTTCCCTTTCTCTACCCCATTTCTTGTATTTCTCCCCTTCAAACCCCTTTTGATTTGTGCAGAAATTAAGATAATAGAAACCCATTTTGCTCTTGTGTGTCAAAGTTCTTTTAACTGCTGCTGATCACCTTGATTCAATTCATATCCACTTAATGATTTTTTTTTCTTTTTTTCTTCTGGGTTACTGAAATCATCATGGTGAAGGAAAGAAAAGGGAGTAATGTAATGGGGTCCTTAGGGTTTTCTTTTGGTTTAATTGTTTTAATTTGCTCTCCATTCTATGTAGAGTGAAAGAAAACACAGACTCCCTTTCTCCCATAATCTTCCCTTTTTGACTATCACCCATTAATTACTTTTCAAACTTCTGTTATAAGGTCCTCTTCCCTGTAATTAACTTGAATTAATTACCCTCCAAACAACCCTTTTTCCCCCCTTTATGCATGATCTATAGAGATCTATCAGTCCCTTGGGATTTGGAAGCTAGCATTTAATCAATCTTACCCAGTAATTTCTTTTTCAATGTAAAGAAGGAAAAAAGAGATAGATACACAACACAGTAGTGATATATGCACACTGCAGCAGCAGCAGCAGCAGCAGAACTGGACCATCCCAGGGTGGGAATAAAAAAGATGAGTCATTCATGTATCAGTCTTCCCCTTCCCTTTTGCTTTTTTTCTTCTTTTATCTCTTTCTTTCTCTCTTCATCTGTGAGTCTGATTGAACTACTCAATCAATCTCCCATCCTTCAGCTTTTTCCCCTCTCTTCATCACCACCTTGAAGTTTGTGCTATGTTGCTGCTGTGATTGCATATATTACTCGATCGATCTTCCAACACAATGCAATACCCACAGCTTTATTTTTTAATAACACAAAAGAAATGGAAAAAGTCAAAACCCTACACTTTACTACTACTGCCCCTCTCCTCTTTCTCATATCTGAATCTAAACTATCATTCACATTTCACACCTTAGATCCCCTCTCATTTCATCAAGTAATGAGATTTACAGTTGTATTATAACTTACCATCTCATTCCAAATCTCCACTATAGAAAAGCTATAACAGAAAGTATATGGTAAAATGTTTTCATCCTACATCATCGTTTGGTTGAGCTAATACTGTATTGGTCACCTACAAAATGTCGTTTCCGTAGAGGATCGTGTCCCTTCTTCCGCACTAAATAAATTTCGACATTTGTTTTTTTTTTTCTTCTTCTTCTTCTCGTTTTTAAAGGGTTGAATCAACGATAATGTATGTCAAAGCTGATAATACGTTCTCTCAACCAAACATGAATGCTCGAATCTCGGTGCGACGAAACAATCATCTAAATACGTTTTGAAATATTTCAAATGTTACATGTGATTCGTGAGTAAGAAATGGATTGAAATGGTTCAATATCACGAACAAAAAACAATGTTTGTATTATACTTCACCATGCACACAATATTTGTTATCTATCATATCCTATGAGTACTTTTTTTTATTTATTTATCCCTTCGGAGAACATCCATCACATTCTGAATTCGTAATTCCGACTTTCCTTTCCCTCGTCGCCGTCCTCATCTCTCAGATGCACATGTGGGGACACGGTTCGCAGTACCGGAAGGGCCCCGAGTCCCTCCGCGGGACACAGCCGACGGCGATGCTCCGGCTGCCTTGCTACTGCTGCGCCCCGGGCTGCCGGAACAACATCGACCACCCGCGGGCCAAGCCGTTGAAGGACTTCCGCACCCTGCAGACTCACTACAAGCGGAAGCACGGGATCAAGCCCTTCATGTGCCGGAAGTGCGGCAAGGCCTTCGCCGTCCGCGGTGACTGGCGGACCCACGAGAAGAACTGCGGCAAGCTCTGGTACTGCACTTGTGGGTCGGATTTCAAGCACAAGCGGTCGCTGAAAGACCACATTCGGTCGTTCGGCAGCGGACACGCGGCCTACGGGATCGACACGTTTGAGGAGGAAGAAGAAGAGGAGGAGTCGGATGTGGAGCAGCAGGATAACAACGAGTCGTGATGATGATGATGATGGGTGTGACTCGGTGAGTTGATAGTGTTATAGTAGATGGTTTAGCTAGGGTTTTAGAGATATGGCGGGGAAGGGTAATCAAGCATGCATTAGTTTTTGCAGATTTTGGGTTTATCGTTATTACAATGTGGTGGGGAAGTCGTCAAAGTAATCCAGCAATGTAGCTTAGCTTGGAGGACGGATTGATGATGATGATGATGATGATGATGATGATGATGATGATGATCGGTTTTCATGTTTAAGTGTATTATTATTTGATGATTTTCCATGCATGTGGCGGTGTTGATGTTAACTTAGGTCGATTTTGGGGCAACTTAAACATACACCCTCCATTTATCGGTTTTTCCGAGTTACGAGATGGTACTGATCATGAAGTTTTGCCAACAAAAAAAAAAGTGAAAATCGATGACAATCAAATTGAACAATTAGAAATCATCATAAAAAACAAGTGGTGTCGATTAAGATCATAACTTACCGACTTAACAAGTCTGGTCGCTTTAAACTCTTCAAAAACGAAATTACGAGTTTTCGCTTGGTATATCATGCCTCGAGTAAATGACACCTATGATATAGTAGTAATTATTGTTCTATGTATATTTCGAAATAATCATATGAGGGCACATTGAACCGATATATGATAAACTGATATAGTTATATATAGATATCACACTCCAAAAGAATCGTTACAACGTTATATGATTAGCACACTATGTGTTACTTCACTAAATAATAAATAACTAAACCACGTTATTATTAATAGAGTGTAGAACGAAAAATAAGACAACATGTCTCATGTTTTCATTTACCCTATCTATCCCACTAACTATACAATATTCACCTGACTATTACACACACGTGTATGGGCGATGCACACGTGTGTAGGACTGTAAGTAAGTGTGTGAGACTGAGTTGTACTACTGTTCTTCATGGTGTGTTTTGTTCTACATGTAAGCGTTTGCACAAACAAAGGGGGAGCGCAAGAGAAGGGAATTAAATGGGCATGTGCTGTGTTGTCAACTTCTTGTCTTCAATAATTCCTTTTGCATCTCTCTCTCTATCTATCTATCTCTTCTTGCTGTACTTTGTATGGTGGAAAATACTGAAAATTGAATTGTACATACTAGTATAATATAAGGGTTCGTGAAACCGTACTATATGAGCGCGGTTCGACAGGAAAAAAAAAATCTCTTATCGAAGTCTGAATCGCAGTAGACAGTTTTTTAACGGTATGAAGTTAAACCACGACAAGTTCAACATAGAAAACACTATTTTTTCCCTTAAAACATTCAATGCAATCTTACAATATTGATTACATAGTAGTACCCTTCCCAATATATAGAGGGTAGGTTAGGACATAAAAGGGGCATTGGAAAAAGAAAGGAGAGGAAAGGCTAAAACCTTGCCAAACTTTGCCATAGCTAGGGATGTGATTTTTACATATAGAACCCCCTGGAGGATTGATAAGTGGTTACAAAAGAGAACCCAATTGGCCAAAGAAGAAATTATGGGCCAGCCAGTACTCTAGCAAGCTATAGCTACACAATTTGTGAAGAGTTTTGATTCACAGTATAATGTTGTGAGAGTGACCTCTCAAGGCCATACTTTGAGTGATGATTATGATAATGGAGAGGAGGAAAGCAAATGGAGAAAGATGTCCAGAAGTCATAACAGTGATGCATTCTTGCAAGAGCTTATAGCATGCAAACAAATGGGTTTTCTTTCTTTTTCTATATATAATAATAATTACATTAATTTCTTTCCTATATGGAAGAGGGTATATGTGGATCTTGTTGGCAGCTTTACCCAACAATGGTTTTGTGGGTTGATAGATAGATGGATGGACAGAGAGCAGCAGCAGCAGTCAAATGGGAGAGTCTTGGTGAAATGATGAGGAAATTGATGATAAGTCATTTCAATGGCTGCCATGAAAGAAAAAGAGAGAAGAAAAGAAAGAAAGGGGTGGAGTCAGTCAGAGAAAAAAGAGGAGAGGAGAGTATATGGGTACTGTTGTACATGGTTGGTTTGGCCTCAGTACCTGTACCATATGAGGCCAACCAAACAGAAAACCTGCCCATCTTATACTATGCACTACTCTCTCTCTCTCTCTCTCTCCCTCTCTACAATGTTCAATTGCAATAATGGTCATTCATTTTGCACTCAAATTTGAGTTGAGCCTCAACAAACTTTCAAGTTGGATAACAAAAAAGTCCTCACAAATTGATACTAAGCATAGTTTACATTGAAGACCTCTAATTTACCTCATAATTAAAATCAACAGACTAAACCAATTGTTAGATCCATTTCAACTACATTCAAAAACCAACCATCATAATCTCTAAATGCTCTACTCCACAACTAATTAAAGACATGACTTCTTTGGTTTGTATTAGTAATTATTTGGATGAGTGGACACAGTAAAGTAATCAGGATGGAATTGGACGAAAACTTTTGGTTTGTATTAGTAATTATTTGGATGAGTGGACACAGTAAAGTAATCAGGATGGAATTGGACGAAAACTTTTGGGTTAACAGATGGGATTAATGAGCGTCTTGTTAGTCATTTCCAACTTGATAAAAAAAACAAGTTGATTGAGTACTCAAAGTTTCACTGACCGTTTTATACCCAGTTGACCTTCTTTCTTTTCTTCCTTTTAACAGAGGGGAGAAGGAGTGGACTCATAGGGTGGTAATAAAAGGGCAGCCATCAGTTCATCAGCTGTCACTTTGAGTAGTTATTAGTTTTTTTTTTTTTTTTCACTGCATGTCTCTCGATTTAACAGCAGATCTTGCTCAACAATCAGGTGATGAATACGAGAGAGAGAGGGAAATATTAAAAATAACATTACCTTTTCTTCTTTTTTACCTTTTTTCATCTTTATGGGTTTTATTGGTTTTTATGTGGGGGTTCTTTGCTTGTTTTTACTTTGGTAGTATCTCAGTGAGATGTCAAAGTGTGCACAGGCCAATTCTCTCTTCTTGTTCATCAGATCATGATCATCAGCTAGCTATGTAGCCATAGCCATCTGACAGTATATACTTAGGCATGGACACTTGCATTAATCCTTCTGTGGTTTATTTGGGAAACAAACAAGATGATATACCCACCAACCTTATTCTCTCTCTCTCTCTCTCTCTCTATCTCTCGATAATTACTTCTACACAACCCTTTTGTCCCTTGAACATTTTGCTTGCTATTCTAGCTTTTCACTGTGGACAAACATGATCCCTCTCCAGATGTTGATCATCCCCAGCCAGCCCTATAGCTGGCTTGCATCAATCAACCTCACAACATTAATGTTTGGTACATGTCACATAGGGGTTGGAGGGTCATTTCTTGGTTACTATCAAGTATCAACTTGCTCTCGAATAACTAACGTAATAGTCGACTGCCCACCTCATCTTAATCGTTCAAACTAACGTGCCAACTCACGCAATGAATAAACATAAAAAAAATGTTACATGCATAGAGACCAACATATGTATATCAATGACATTCATCATACTCCCTTTCCCACTACCACTTGGTTGGCTAACATGATTTTTCGGCACTCAATCACTGAATTCGGTGAGATCACACACCATGATATAGTCATTCAGACGAGAAAAATCGGAGTAGTTGACTGTTGTTATGCTAGTTTCCCAACTTCAGGCAACAAACTTGTTAAACATCAAAGTTATTCAATGACTAACCGTGCTATTAATCCATGAATAGTACAGTGACTGTTTATGTAATTTTACTCGCATTAGTGAGTGAACAATTCAGAACAAAATGTTTGGCAAGAGAGGAGTTATTAACTTATTATTATTAGGTTTGTACTTCACATCTTATATCATGATGATGATAAGCCTAACTCGAATGAGAGGTGAGGGAGGCAAAGGAATTGAAGGACTTCGTTGTGTTTATATGATCATGTTCAATAATGTAGACATGTGTGATTGATTGCTCTCCCGTCGTTTACTGTTTAGGGCATAGGAAGGCCACGTGAAGTATGCTATATTTGAGAGCAGCAAACCACATTGTACCATTCTTCCCTTCTTCTTCTTCTTCCTATCGGTATTTTTTGTATGTTTATTGTTTTCTCATGTTCGATATATATGGCTTGAAAGAGAGAAAGCTGCCTACTCATGTTTGCTCTTTCACCTTAAATTCTGGTGATATGTACACATGAAAACTTTGTGTTAATCTCTCAATGGGTACTTTTCCAAACCAATCTTTCTGTCTTTACATTGCAATTATGATGGTGTATTGGGTTGTTATGTTAATTACAGATGACTGGTTTAATTTCAACACATATCCCGGCCGATTCATATTAAATTCTTTATTCACCCTAGTTTCATTTTATATTCGCCGTTCCAGATAATACTTATGATCTCTTATATATTCTCTTGTATGATAGCTTACTGGAAGGTTTATATAACCTATATAGTTATTGATTCGGGTGACCGGTTGACATGCTAAGAGCAATGAAAGTTGATTGATCTTTTGTACAATTGAGCTAAAAATGACAGAAAACTGAACTCTATAAAGGAAAATCCTTAATTCTATTGGACTCTCCCTTGTCATTGTGGGTTGCCTTTATCAAGGTCCTTTATTAGTGAAGTGTTTCTTTGGTATTATATGGAGAATCCCATTGTTGCTGTGCTGGGGCCTCATGGTTGGAGAATATGGGCAAAAGTTTAAAAAAAAAAAAAAAACAGACACTATGATTAAAGAGCACCATATATACATATATTAACAATGCATATGTTTCTGAGCATATACAATTTGGTCACCAAATTTCCATATCATCATGTAGGTCTCCCCTTGCCCTCCACCTTGTGTATATAGTGACCAAAACCCACAAAAGTTTTTTTTTACCCTTTTCTATTCTCTCCTTTATTTCCACCAATAGTTTGCTAGTTTTACACGATTGACTCCATGATATGATTCCAAGTTTAGCTTTTCACAATGGATAAAAGAAGTGTGGAGATCTTGTTGCCAATGTAATTGGATACCTTTGATTGCACCACTACTTAATTGAATGAGTTGACAAGCAAAAGTCTCATGAGAAACGTAATTATTTAAACACCAAATCACCATTAAATATCTTCTGATTAAATATGTATCTAACAGTGCATCTTCCCACTCGTTCAGTACAATCGAAACGAGTCTTGAGTTACTCAATGTTTCCGAGACTTTTACACCCCCTACTTGTTAAGAACAGTAATATCATTGATTAGTAAGATGTTTCTTGCTCCTCCTCTAACACCATGAACCATTTTTTGTCAAAATTTTGAGACTATTGATAATCAAGTATGAAGGTATTATCATTGGCATTTCCCTCTTTCCCTTTCATGTTTCTTCTTTGGTTGATGACACACTTTTTTCTTGCTCTTCCTTTTGCCTCTTTTGCTTTAAGAGGGTTTTCATAGTAGCCCTCTTTATTAACTCTCCCTCTCTCTTTTCCTTTCATCCTTCTTTGACAAATCCAATCAAAAGCTCTCCCCTTTTCTCCCACCACCCCCTCCATATCAAGGAAAGATAGGACTTGACATCTTTAATCCCCATGAATCTCTCTCTCTCTCTCTCTCTCTCTGTTTTCTGTTTTCTCACTTTCCCCCACAAACCTCCCTTTCCTCTCATATTTTTCTCAGTAACTCACAGTGATGTGTTCTTTCACTAGATCCTTCATCCATTTCAGGAAAGAAGGGAAAACAGCATAGTTCCAAACCATGACCATCAGTTCGAAAGATGCTGCAAAAAATTAACTGAGCTTTTTTTGTCTGGTGATCTCTGTACATTTTTCCATCGTTTCTGTTGCTGCTGCGGACTGTTGTATCATATAACATAACATAACCTTGGCATGAAAAGATAGTTCAAGGCTGTTCTCCGAGGTGATGTTTAGTTGGCTGGACAGCAAGATCGTGTTTGGATTTTGTGCCTCGTAGTACCAACTACCAAAATATCCACCTCTGGTTGTTTCATGGGCTCAGATTACTAAAACTGTCAGCTCGTGGGCTCAAGGTAAAGTAAAGCAGGCTTCATAAAACTTTGAGGCCCATTATCTATTCTGTTTGCGAACCGTGTATTACCCAGCTAACAATGGAGAAAACCATATTAATGGTAATAATATATATATATATATAGGAGTTTGGAAATTCAGTAATGAGATTTGAAAGGGCTGATGATCTGGTTACAGTTCTCTCTTTACATTTTTCCCGCTCGATTGCTAGTTACAAGTATGGATTTTACCCATAGTTTCTTGATTGAAACGCCCAGCATTACATCCAATGATCCAGAGGAAGCTTCAATCCTTTACTATCAGTGATGTACAACAGTTTTTAGCTTGGTGAAGTTGCTACAAGCTCATATCTTCAGGTAAGCTGATCTGAAGAAAGTAAAGGCTGCAGAAAGAGCAAGAGAAATCTCAGTAAGAAAACGACAGAATCAAAAGGAAAGATCCAAGCAAGAGCATGAAAACTCAGAACTTTGAACAATACATGATTAAGGGTTATTCTGAAAGTAGTTTTCTTTCACTTCTTAGTTCTTACCTTGCAGACATGAAGGCCATTCCAAAGAACACAGCTTTAACAGCTTGCTTCTGTCCAGCATAATCAAAAGCCAACGGCAGCATCTCGTGTAAGGTGAGAAACGCCATCACTCCGCCAACTGCAGGGACCAAGACGGGACTAGTTGGTTTCCATCCCCATCATAGAAGTGAGAGGCACAACAAAGTAGTAGAACAAACCTGCTCCCAGTAGACCCTCCAGTATTTCAGGATTCAAGCTGCTTGGGAATAGATATGCTGGAAATTCAACAAGAAATAGCAATCTCAGTGAAATTATTTCAAACAAGGTTGGCCAACATTATGCTACTTTACTCATGGCAGGTTTACACACCTACAACCACAACACCGAGTGGTTCTGCAAACCCAGAAAGTGTCGCCAATTTGAACGCTTCCCACTTGCTGAGATTGATACCGAACCATACAAAGTCAATTCAGCAACTGAGATCATTCTAACTGGATTTGATTCTACAATGAGCATATTTTTATTTTGGTTCGACCGCCTATTTACAGGTCATGGTTTTATGAAGTATTACCTTTGTGTTGCAAAGTAAACAGGAAGTGCAACTGCGACACCCTGTGCAAATGATCAAGTCGATACAGACTTAATTAACTCCACTAATGGGGAAGGCTCCAAAAAACAACGATGAAGGGTGTACTAAGATAAAGATATCATAATACCTCTGGGATATTGTGCAGAGCAATGGCGAATGCTAAATTAAGACCAACACGAAGGCCCTACAAAAGAACTTCAGTTAATTACAAAAATGAATATTTAAGAACTTCAATTTAAGCCATGATGCTGGTATACAGCTTACCTTCAGTGATCCAAGGAACACAGCCATGCCCTCGGGGAGATTGTGCAAGCTTATTCCTGGATCAAAGAACACAACTTTCAGCCAATTTTGTAGAAAACTTGGCAAAATCATACAAACTGCAATGTTTACAATTCACTCGACATCCAGAAGATCTAGAATAGGATGTTAAGCCTTGATTTATTGGTTAAGACTTAATCTTTACAAAATCATACCGATTGCAGTAACAATCCCGCTGTAGAAAACCTGACGACGATGCTTTTTCATCATATCCTTTTCCCCTTCGTCGCCATTTTCCTGTGACAAAGCAAAGTGCAAAGCATCAATACACCTTTGAACTAACATTCAAACATGGAATATCCAGCACAATGAAGAATTTCGAAAAAACCTTTTTCCTTTTTCCTTCTGAGGCTGGAGCTATTTGTGGTTCAGGAATGAATGTCACAACTACAGCAAAGAATATAATCCCGGCAAAAAACTGAACAAAAGCAAAGAAGTATCATCATGATAAAGGGATGGAAAACAAATCAAGTCCAAGCAGTGCATTAGCATGTGAAGCAAATGTTGAAAAGGAATGGCTAACCCAAAGATTTCCCTTTAGAAAGCCAATTGAGTTGATGGCATTATGAGCGAGATCAAAGAACGATATGCTCAACATAAGACCTGCAGCAAAACCCTGCAGATTGAATAACGTGATGAAAGATATCATCTGGTTTGCAGAAACTGAATCCAATGTGCACCATAATCTACCAAGGAATTTGAACACCTGAGAATCACCTGTAAAAGGCCAAGCATCTTCAAGCTTGGCGCCCCAGAAAGTATTACAAGGAGAGCACCTATTCATGATTAAAGTTTCGAGTGAGACTCTCAAGAAAGAATCATGAAATAACACAAATGGCGAGTGGACCACGAGATTTACAAAGGACTTTTCCCCTTATTCCGTGCAGATGGAGTTTGCAATGGGTAATATCATATATCTTATCATAGTTTTGTCAGGTAAACCAACATGTCAATTAGCAAATTACTAAGCTTGCAAGCAATTACTTTCTTTCAAAGCTTCACGGTCCCTACATCGTGTCCTTCGTCCCCCTGAAGCCTGAAGCTTCACCTGCTATATGGATGACAGACAATCTAAACCTCAAAAGGCCCCCATTCAACTCCAAGAGACTATCTCCAATGACAATTCACAGCACGAAAGCAAAGAATCATCCAACAAAACGTGAAATTAGAACAGAAGAGGGTGGAAGCTGCAAACTAACCAAGTGAAGTGCTGAGGCCGCCAACCAGCGAAAGAGCAAGCGCTACAATCACCTGAGAATCCATTTCCCCACCGCAGAAAACAGTAATTGTGGAGCTGATTCAGAATTTTGTGGGTTTTAAACTATGGGAGTTGGGTTCAAGCAAAAGAGCAATCTTTACACGTGAAAAAGGGAATCCACCATGAAAACGATATAGAGTTATGATAGACTAGGGAAGAAAGGGATGAATTGAGGAAGCAGACAAACCCAAAAACCTGCCCCACTACAGAAAAATTCCCTCGCTTCCCTCACCCTTACTCTACAGTTTTATACCTTCACCTAACCTTTCTCCCTCTCCTTCTTATCGCGGCATGAACTGAAACTTCACTGCTCCATGACTAAATTAAAAAGAAACAAAACACCCTCTGGAGTCACTGGTTACTGTTTCTATTTCACCTCCGCCGTCCTCATGACGAAGGGAAGTAGCGCACGCCGGGATGGAGGAGGAAGGATTCGGCGGTGGTAGGCGGAGATTGGGATTGCAGCGGCCAAGACAGCCCGGAAAGCGCGATGAGATCTAAAATCCGCTTTGTTTTTTTTTTCTTCCTATGTCAATGCACTACTCCTTCTCCTTTGCGGCTCGGGATTTTAGTGGGTAAGCTTTTTTCACTTTTGTTTGGGCCAGGGCCGACTTGTATTGAATTGGCCCAACCCATTACCCATCTTCTTCCAAGTAGTGATGGATGTTGGATTTGGCGCAAAATTATGTACAGTTTGAGTTGCTTAAAAAACTTCAGCAAATGAGACACTTTCACCTGACTGGATTAACAGCTTAAATTTTGTCTTACTTGAGCTAAGAGTATAGTTCGGGTCGGGTTCGGTTACCCAAACCGAAACCCGAAAAAACCCGAAACCGAAAATCACTAAAACCGAACCCAAACCCGAAACCCGAAAATTCCTTATCGGGTTCGGTTAAAACAAAACCGAAACCCAAAAAACCCGAACGCCTAAAAATACAGGTTGAGTTCTATTCATTGGAGGTTTTTAGTCGGAACCCGAAAAACCGGTAAGCAAAACCGAACCCGAAACGAACCCGAAAAACCAAAAATATATATAATCGGGTCGGTTTCGGGTAAACCCAAAAAACCGAACCCAAATTGACACCCCTAGCTAAGAGGCCTACCTTGTCTTACAATCGTTTCTTAAAAGCTCCCTAACGTAAACTAGTTCCAACTTTCAGTCGGCATTTGCCAAGGGAAGGTGAACGAGACTATGATTTGTCGTCGGAGGAGGAAGAAGTAGTGGCCGGTGAACCGACTGACGCTATGTTTCTGAGTTGTGGGTTGACCGCTCCGAGTTGGGTTGGACCTCTCACGCCGAAAAGAGGTTAGGATATGCTCGAACAAAGTGAGAGGGAAAAGGACAATCAGCTGTAAGGGATTGAAAGCGCGTAGTCCCTCGATTCAGGGATCGATAGCGTCTTCCCTCCCTTCACCCTTCTCCTTAACACCGAGGTATTCACTCATCTCACTTCGTTCCTAACCCCTACGCACACCTGCTCGCATCTCGCTTCTGTCATTGATAATGCACTTAGAAGAGCTAAAAAGAAAATCTTTTAAGACATGTTAATTAGCCCGTGAAAAGGTATCTATGAGAGTGGTGAAGGGAGGAAGTAGCTCGACCTTCCGAAAATTTTCTCAGGCTTTACCCTCGTTGCACCAAAAGACGCCGTTAAAGTATCAACCTCTATTAGCTATGGACAGTGGGATTGGCACTGATACACTTCATAATGACGAGCCAACACATCAGATACTTCTATTGCAATCGGGATCAGTTCTCTGACATGCCAAACTCAATATCCATGTTATAAACACAGTCTACTATTCACCAAAGTAAAACTAGCCGAAACACGTTGAATCGCTTGGAGCCGCAGGGGCGGACCCAGGGAGGTTTGAGGGTGTCCCCGGACACCCCTAATTTTTGAAAAAACGATTATCCAACTTTCGGTGGTAATTTATAATTAATAGTCCGGGACACCCTAAAAATTGAAAAAATCATTATACTACTCTCATTTGTAGTTTGCGCATGAGAATATAAGTGGTAGTTTTGGTAATTCAAACCCGGGACACTACTACTATTAATAAATATAATTTTCATTAGGCTACAAATTTTTTTGTGGTTCTATTCTAAACACTATGTAATAGCAGAATTGTAGGAAACATAGATATTGGGGTGGTTAGGGGGTTAGGCAGCCGATTAGTGACAAGTAGATTAGTAGGGTATCATTAGGTTTTTGGGCTTATTTCCCTATAAATATGTATTTGAGTCATTACGTTGGATTTGGTCAGAAATCAGTAATCAAACCCTATTCAGTTTATCCCTCTTCTTCTCCTAATCTCTAATTCCCAATTCTATTCTTCCTATCTCAATTTCCCAATTATTCTTCTCAAATCTCTAATTATTTCTCTCAATTCCTAAATCACTTTCTAATCTATCTGGCTACGTTAATCACAAGTTACCGCAGAATAATAGTTCCTTCAAAAACCCTAGTCTCTATCTTTAATTATTTTCAAAACCTAACAATTAATCTAATTACAAGCTACCCTTAATTTATGGGTGTACGACAAGTGTTGAAAGTGCTTTTTAGCTTTGAGTTACATCAAGAACAAATTTAGAAGTCGAATATACATTTGTTCGTGAATGATTGTCTAATAGGATATACCGAGACAACTTTGTTGAGCAGTGTAGACACCAAGTGTATTTTACAATTTTTTCAGAATATGAAAATACTTATGAACTTTTTTTAACTTGTAAGAATTGGCTATTTTCTTATTTAAGAATTATTTAATTTTTATTTTTATTATTATTTATTTCTTAAAAGAGGACACCCCTAAATAAAATTTCTGGGTCCGCCAGGTCAAGTTTAACCAAGCACCCTAATGCAACTTAAGAAACATAAAATTATGTTTCAAGCTTAACTGGTTTAACTTAAAGAGGACCCTTTTAAGGAAAGAAATGAATATCATTTGGGCAGCATGCAACCTTCGCTGGATGCATTGAACATACAGGAAATATAACTTCAATAGATAGCATTTAGGGCAGGCAAAACTAGCACAGATAACAGAGGAAAAAGACAAACATTAAAACTAATTGGATTCTAATCATGCATTGTACCTGCATGCATGGATAGGAATGTCGATCTACAGATTTCTAACTTTGAGCAGAGATCAGCCAAGGCCAACAATACACCTCGAAGACGCCTAGGATTGACATTTTCCTTCTCCATGCAATCACGAAATTTAACCATAGCATCAGCTTCAAGAGCTATCGTATGTAGATCTTCCTTCCCTAAGACCAGACTAGACAATACAAACGGGGACTCATCTCCAACTTGACCTGGATCATCAAGGAGCTCGAGGAGAGTATTGACCAACTTCCTATTGAGCCCCAATTCCAGGATATAGCAATCTGTAGCATCCCTAATGACAATCAAGCACTGGCAAGCGAGCAGCCTCGTCTTGGCATTGCTATCCATGGTCAGCCTAAGTATGGCATTGAACGATTTCCCGCCATGAGGTCCCAGAAACTCCTTTATGACTTCAGAGTTATTTTTGAAAGCTGCAGCAAGAGAACCTAAGCTAGCATCTCTCTGACCTACACTCCCATCTAGGAGGCTGACAAGCCTCTTCAGAACCCCAGCCTCGAGCATAACTTTCTGCTCTTCGAACGTCCTGCAGGAATGGGCTATGATATGAGCACCTAGTTCAGTAACGTTTTCACCCTCTCTATTCAGTAAGGAAACCAGGAATTCTAAGCTTCCACGTTCAAGGATTTCATATTTGGGAGCAAATTCAGACTGGTAGATCATTTTCAGGGAGCGAGCACCAACATCCACTACCTGAAACACCAAATGACCAAAGCAATGGATTATCACCCATTGAACAATCATAGCAAAAGGATTGAAGAACCTAACTTTGAATTCCAATTCTCCCCGCCTCAATTGGCATTGTGGTTCATTTCACTTTATAGCAAGTTAGGTCTGCAGTATCATCCTCTAATTTTTTTTTCTCCTTCTCAAATTTGTGTTCATAGAAGAAGGAAAAAAAACAGGAATAAGAATCAGATAAGTACGTTACTTTGTCGTCGGGATGATCGAGCAGTCTAACCAGAAGCGGCAGAGCGCCCGCAGCGAGAACTGCCTGGACGCCGTCGTCGAATCCGCAGGCGAAGCTGCTAAGAGCTGCCGCCGATTGGACGACGACATTGCTGGAATAGCCGAGCATTCCCCGCACAGAAGCGGCAGGAGCAGGCTGAAAGCAGTCGCCGTCGGCAATTGCGGCGGAGAGAATTGACGCGACGCGAGGGACGGCGCCGAGCTTTATGTAGCTGAGCTTTTTCGTCTTGCTGCCTATTATTTGGTTCTTGACTTCCCGCAGGGCCTTCAGCTTGACATCGGGGTCACTGAAGGAGAGTCGAGCGACGAGGGAAGACGGACCGCCGTCGGACCCGGAGGTGGCGGAAGCGGAGGCGGTAGTAGGCATGGCGGTGGCGATTGATGGCGGCAGAAGAATGGCATGCAATCGAATTCGTCGGAGACGGAAGGATTTATGAAAGAGAGGAAAGGGGAAAGGGAAAGGATTTGGATTTTTGTAAAATAATTAAATGAGTTAGTTGGGTGCGGGGAATCCTTTTTGAAACCGTTGTTTTTCATTTCTGACGAGTTGGAATCATTTTTATTTAATAACTATATAACAATTAACAAATGACTTTTTTATATATGGAATCACTAATAATTCACTATTATGAATTCTCCATTTATAGTTAAACCGTTTTTTTTTTCTCATTACAACTTATCATTTTTCTTCCAAATAAGAGGTGGGACTGCGATTTCAATATCGTGGCGTTGAAATGTGTGAAGTTAAAAAACTACAAATTTTCGAGATTTTATTAATGATTTGTCACAAGAGTTTTTTTATTCCTTTTTAACAACAAGGTCTCTTTCATTGGTATCATGCGGAATGAGATTGCTTGCTAACTCTTAAAACAGTTAGCACAGTACTCACCATGTTTTGAGTTGTATGGTTAAAATTTAATGAAGGTCAATTTAGTCAAAATGCACACCAAACCCTAATATATATTCAATCTAACCCTCCCATCCCAAACAAACCACTCGTCCCCCTTCCCCAGAGTTGTGAAAACTGCGGCTTCCACTCTCTCAAATCTGCAAAAACTGTCGCACCTGGAAGCACATCTTTTCCCAAACGAAAATCTCCTCCGCATCGATCTTCCTCGGCGACTATGACGCTCAAGGCACCTGCTCTGTCTCTCGAGACCACGGTTCTTTCGAAGGCTTCTCTGACTTCCCCTCCGCGCTCGAACTAGACGAGATCTGGGGATTCAATTTTGCCGAGAAAGAGGAGGCGGCGTTGCCCTTGAACGCTCCGATTGGCGGATGATTGCATGATTGGATCGATTTTGCCGAGAAGGAGAAGGATGTGCCTTTCACATGAAGATTTAGATTGAGGCTAGGGTAAAAGAATTAAGTCTCCATTTTTGGCCGACTATGGGACGAGAAAACATGGAACGAAAGAAAGGAAGGGTTGGCCAGCTGTGTAATTTTTGGTAGTGATTGTGTTGTAGTGTATATTATATGTATCAGTAGTGATTCTTCTGGGAATCGTCATTTACTTTCCAGTAGTATTTTGTGTAGTGGCTGTAATATTTGTTCATTCTTCCTCAGGAGATAGTCTTTTCAAAAATAGCAATCACTACCAATTTTAAATTGCTTAATCGTTAATAATAACAATAAAAATCACTACTAATTCAAAATTGCTAAAACACTACTAGTTTTACAATAACTACGGAACATTATAAAAACACTATTAGAAACCACCAAAATCACTACTAAGATAGTTGGTAGTGTTTTTTCAGTAGTTTTTTCTTAACGTAGAAAAATTCCATAATAAAGAAAAGATAAATAAATATATATATTTTAAAATTAATTTTATTAATTAATTTTAATTTTATAAAATACCAAACACGCCCTTTGTCACTCTCCACCGTCAGATTTAATTTAAAATGAATGATGAATAATATAGTTAGCATGGTGCTAACTCCTATCATGTCAGCCCCTATCTCCTCCCCCTGGTTTGTACTTTGTAGAGGGAGAAAGAACGAATAACGACTCCGAAAATTACTAATTGGTCTGAAACACGTTTACAAAGCAATGGATTGGATCTTCCTCTTGCGCCTAAAAGGACAAGGGGATTCAGGCCATAGAATTCAGTAATAGAACTTAGTAATATCTTTTCCACCATTTTATTTTCTTTATCCTGATTTTCTAAAAATTATTGTTTTGATCATGGCTGGGAATAGGGTTGTTAATGAGTCGAGTCGAGCCGAGTTTTGCCATAGTTCGGGCTCGGGTCGTTAATATATTTTCAGGCTTGAGCTCGGCTCGTGTTTGTCACAAGCTTTAATATGCAACCTCGAGCTTGGCTCGTTTATGAAAATGAAAGCTTGAGCTCGACTCGAGCTCGCTCGTCAAATAAGCTTAACGAGCCCAAGATTGACCTAGAACTGAGCACAAAATTACATTCAAACTTGTAGCAAAGTCTAGCTAAGTAAAACACAATATTCATCATAATTTTAATACATAAAATCAATGAATTCTAATCTTTTTTTTATGCCAAACCATTAAATGAGCTTGTTCGCGAGCTTTCGAGCTGAACATGGTATGGCTCGAGCTCGACTCGTTTAGTCAACAAGCTTGTTCACGAGCCGGCTTGATTAAAACGAATAGAGTGTCGAACGAATTTTTCTCGAGTCGGACGCCGAGTCGTTCATGGGCAGCTTGGACGTTTGGTTCATTAACAGCCCTAGTTGGGAATATGAGTTTTTTTTTATGACAAATCACTTAATCATTATGAAGCGTTATGACTCTCATAAGGTTTCAATGCTTTTGTATCCGATCTGATAGTAGTTTCAGATTATTTCATTCGAATTGACACGTCAATATATATAGGTGCAGCCTATGCACCCAAATCGAAAAATAATTTTAAGATATATAATTTTGGACTGGTAACATTAGTCTAATGGATTATATAACATAAGATCAGGAATAATGAGAGAACTAATAAAAGGTTCTAAAGATCCCAATCATCTTGGGTGCTCTGCCAAATCCTCGAAATGGTTGTGGAGCTTGCCCCTCCCACCAAAGATCTTAAACTTCATTTGGAGGATCACCAAAAATGCAATTACCACAAAGACAAATCGTTGGTTTGTCTCCTTCATTTGTGGTGTCTTGTGTGCAATGCAGACATTGAAGATACTTGGCATTGCTTCTTCGAATGCTAGCATGCAAGAAGTTTGTGGCAGCTTGGCTTTGCCTCCTTCCCTCTTCCGTAGAGGGATATGCTGATCTTGATGTGACTTTACCACATCCATGATTTGCTCCCAGCCTTTTCTATCGTGGGTGGCAGTGGTGGCAAATCTTTGTACCATTTGGAATGCCTGTAACGACTTGGTTTCCAAGGGGATTCGCCCAGTTCTCCAAATTTCATCAATAATGGTGAATCTCCCTCTTCTCTGATTGGAGCACGTTCCTCCCCCGTCTCGTACCAGTTAAGAATGACAACTATGAAGCGAGTGCAACCCTGTAACGAGGTGACCAACCTCCTTTGATTTCATTAATAAAGATTGTCTATCAAGAAATCCATGTATTGTGGAATTCAATGTTTGCGTCTCCAACATGTGAGTTTAGTCTTTAACCTCACTCTAGGTCATCAGTCATCACTACACTACTACTTCGGAGAAGAAAAAAGGAAAAAACAATCAATGTAGAAACCAATGAGAAATGGGCTCGTAGCAGACCCAAATAACGTGGATACTTAAATTTGCTACGAGGCCCAATTATGCAGTAGGCTGGTTTGCCTCAATCCGGCCCATCTTGTATTTGGCACTTGGCAGTTAGTATAAGGTTTTCGACATTGTGAATTCCAATTTCCATTCCACCAGATTGCATTCACGATTAAACAAAAATTAAAGTTCCTGATTTCATGTAAGACCTGTAGACGTTTTTAGGAACTAATTAAACATAACAACCAAAAATCAAACATCATATAGAGTAGTAGAAGATTAATGGAATAATAAAGGCAACATGATTTCAATACTCAGAAACATGCATAATGACAACAAAAGACTCTATCGACATCAAAAGTAAAAGTAAATAATAATGCTACATGGCTACATGCATAACTTTGACCAGAAACATACGTAGAACAAAGTTTACAGATCATGGTTAATTATTATCTAATGTATATTAGGTTATGTTGTAAAAAAAAAAAAAAGACGTTTGCTCATTGATGTCCATAGGGAACCTTTGTCGACGGAATGAAGGACCAAAATCAATTGCTGGAGACAAAAAGAGAGTGGGAGGAGGAGGTTTCATGAGAGGGCAAGCAGTATGAAGGTGGCTGCTGCATGGCTTATGAGCGGCCAATATTGAAAGTGGGTTGCTTAGCACATATGACATGCGATAAAATAAATATGGCTTGTTTGAGATTGTTAAATTTGATGAATCTCATAAATCATAATCATGCGTACTGCAACTTCAATGAAGCACAAGTTGAGATCAAAGAGAAAGCTTAATTATACTTAGAAAGCTAATGCTGATGATACCGAGAGTGTTAGATTATCAGCTAAATAGACAATCAATCTACTGGCAGTGCAAAGTGGTGGTCGTGCACTCAATGGATTTCTGGATAGTGATTAATATAATTATGTTTCTTCACAGATACGAGCTAAAATGATTAAAGGAGATTCTCGTACAATTTTGAATTATTTTCGGAAAACACAATCAGAGGATCCATCATTTAACTATTCGGTGCAACGTGATGACGATTATCTCATACTGAATGTGTTATGGGGTTAATTTCATAGTTTCTGGTATGTTCTCTTAATACAATTTCCTATATATTGCAATCTTAATTAGCTTTACTTATACTTAAGGTAAAGGTAACATTAAATCTCACTACTCACTCTTAATTGTAATTAAGATTTAAGAGTTGTGCTAACTTATACTTATGCCCCAAAACTTTAATTCATTCCCCCAAAAAAGTTATTTTACTGTTCTACACGTAAGTTCGACCAAGTGTAGTACCAATGAAAACTTTGTAAATGAGGCTTTCAATTGACCTATATGATATACATCAACGAACATGTAAAACCTAAATGAGAATGAGAGTGTGTTTGGATAGAAGGATTTGAATTTGACATTTGAAATTTATATTTTTAAATGTTAAATTATTTGTTTGGATACTAATTATATTTGGTATTTGGATTTGTACCAAATTGATCCGTATTACTTGTCAATTTGATAAACATTTCAACAACTAGTAATAAAATTCCTCATAACTAAAGATTGAGTCTGTTTGTAAAACATATAAAGGTACAAAGATAATTTTACCATCAAAATTTCTGGACTTTTTATAAAATTTTAGAAGTTTAGATATTGAATTGTATGAAAATAATTTTTGGTACCACTATCTGTTTATAAAATTCAAAATTAAAATAAATAAATCTAAAATATCAACAAATTACATATGAATATACAAACAACGAATTTAAATTACATGTATTTTAAATAAATGCATTTTAAAAACATATTTTTCACAACTATCCAAAAGGGAATTTCATTTTCCCACTCTTCATTGGGATCAAAAACTCAAACTGGGTTTTTGTATATAACATGACCTTATGTTAATATGAGACCTTCTTGGAGTAAACAACCATGACGAATTAATCTCCAAACATACTTTAATTTGTTTACTTCAAACGTCATATTTTGATCTTGGGTCTTTTTGTCAATCAGGTTAAACCCATGGATTTATAAATAAATACTAATGTCTAGCTCTAAGTTTAGTACCTACAATATATCCGAGTCTTCAATAATTTGACTCGGATCAGTATTTAAATAAGCTCGGGTTTCATAAAACCAACCGAAGTAGAGAATATAGTAATATACAATATTGTGAATTTATAGAACTGGATTGTTGTATTATTTTTATTGATAAATCCAAAATCTAGTGCCAGCAATGCAGTCAAAAACGCGATTCTATCTAGAAGCGGAAAAGAGGTAAAATCGTAAAGCGTAGAATCAAAGCGTAAAAGCGTAAGTTTTTGACGCATACTGAAAAATAACTAAAAATCTATTAAGAATGACACATACTATGTAAAATATGAATGCACATAATTTAGATAAGTTAATAAATACATGCAATTCATGTCTAAAGCAGAGCAACTTATAGGGATATTCCTTTCACTGTTAATTTGAGGGGTGGGGCTGAGAGGGAGAGTTTTGCTTTCCTGGATAGACTTTCTTCTAATTCTAATAGGATTCTTAATGGTCCTGGCCGTGTTGTGTGGCTACCTAATAATAGTGAAGTTTTCTCTATGAGCTCAATGTACAAAATGCAGGTGGAGAACCGGTTCCCGGGAGTTGAAGGACCCCCTACTGAAGTTGTGTGGAACAGTATTGTCCCTCCAAAAGTGTGTGGTTTCCTTTGGCTAGTGTGGCATAAGCGGATTTTTACTATCGACAATCTGAAGCGTAGAGGTTTAGCCCTGGCAAACAGGTGTGTCCTGTGCTGCCATGAAGAGGAGACGATCAACCACATTTTTATGGAATGCTCATTTGCGAATATCGTGTTGATTGAGGTGTCCAAGCTGATGGGTAGAACTATTAGACTAGCCGGCGATCTGTCATAAGTCATGTGTAGCTGGCCGCAAGGTGATAAGAACAATTTCATGGACTGCAGTTTGAGCTGCTTATTACATGCTGTTTGCTGGAATGTGTGGAACGAAAGGAATCGTAGGATCTTCCAGCAGCTACAATGCAACACCAAAGTTATCGCCCACAGGGTAGCGAGGTCTGTTCTTGATTGGAGTATGATTCGCGGCAAAGTCGATAAGGAGCAGGGTAAAAACTGGCTGAGATCATGGTCCTCGTAGGCAGTCCGTGGACTCTCCTTGGATGGGGTTTCTCTGCTGTCATTATCGGGAAGCTGTGTTCTGCTGTTTTGGATGGCTGCGATGCTCGGGTTTAGCTGCGGTGCTTTGACTCTGTGCATCTCTGTGGTGCTTTTTCTGCTACTTTATGTTTTGTCTCTTTGTTTATCCTTTGTTTTCCTGGTTTCAGATTTCCAATCACTTTCACTGCTTGTGAAGTGATGATCCCACCTTTGTATGCTTTTCCTTTCTCTTTATTTAATAAAAGTTCATCATCATCATCAAAAAAAAGTTCATAAACATAAAATTTAACAATAAGTCACTTTTTCCTCTATGCTAATGAATTCGGGAAGAGCCTAGCTGGTGAATTAGATTACTCTATTGAAATTGAGAATGCATCCAAGTACTTGGTATGTATCTTTTCATCTCAAATGCATCATATTGTTGGTGATTTACTTTTAAATATTACTTGTTATAATTAATTTCATGAAAAGAATACCCATTTAGTGAACTAAAAGCGTAAAAACGTAAAGCATTTTGGTGAACTAGAAGCGTAAAAGCGTACACTTTTACGCTTTAAAGCGCAATTTAGTCCGATTTTATACACTTAAGTTTTTATATGGAAACGAAAGCGTTTTGCTGACCTAAAAGAGTAAAATCGTAAGTTCTAAAGTTTTAAAACGCGATTTTGACTGCATCGAGTGCCAGTCTAGAGGCCTATTTTCCTATTTCTATCAAAAAAAATTTTTTTGGGGGTTTATCCTAGCTCTTGAGCTGACCTTTTCTTCTGTTGCAGGAGTAGAAGACTTGTGTTTGTGTATCTACTGTACTTGATCGTGAGCTATCCGTTGAAGAAGAGAAAAGACTATTGGGCCAATGGAATACTAACACGTCACATGGGGTCGCAACTGGTTTTCGAGCCACGCGGCTGGGAGAAAGAAACGTGTCAGCTAATTCCCCAGCTAGCTAGTGTAGGGGAAACCAGGAGCTTGGACGTTCAACAGCTAGCAGCTAGATATTCAACATTGCTTGCATCTTGTGATTTGAAAGGAGGGTGGCGAAGAAGAAGAT